CACAAGCTGAGGGAGGATAGGTTTAGGTTAGATATTAGGAAGAACTACTTCACGGTAAGGGTGGCCAGAGCCTGGAATAGGCTTCCCAGAGAGGTGGTGCTCTCACCTTCCCTGGAAATCTTCAAGAAGAGACTGGACAGGCACCTGGCTGGGGTCTTATGACCCCTGCCACCCCGAGTGCTCCTTCCTGCCCATGGCAGGGGGTCAGACTCAATGATCTGTCCAGGTCCCTTCTGACTCACTGATTCTATGATTCTGTGTATGCTTTGCTGCACACCCCTGGTTCATCCCAGGACATGGTGTATCTTGTGCATTGAAGGGCAGGGGCTTTGTGAGGAAAAAATAGTATGTGACCGTGTAATGAGTCTGCACCCTGATTCACGCACAAGTTGCACAGGCAGCTTTACTGTTAGCATTTCCTGTCCTTTGGAGTACTTGATGCCGCAGCCTTTGCAAGGTTCTTGTATGGGGGTTTCTTTGTAGTTGGATAGTTGTTAAAGTTAAAAAATCACAGGGGGGAAAAATATTTCTATAGCTTCCTATTCCTACCCCTACACCCCTAACAAGGCCACCTGCAGGGCTGGGACCTCCAGGTCCAATTCACAGACCCCTGCTGACACTTGAAATATTGGAGCAACTGTTAGCAGTCGGAGGTTGTCACCCTCTGGCCATCAGGAGAGCAGAATAAAGCCTTTTGCCTGTGGTTTTCATGGAAGCGTACTGTAGCAGGCACAATCCAATGCTTGTTTTCCTCATTTACCTTGTCTCCCTTCAAGGCTCCCCGTCACCCTTATCACACACCCTGTCCCTGAGCTCCATTCCAGTCTCCTTGCTTGGCAAGTCCCAGCTTCTGCCTCCTGGCTTTTTAGCCAATCTCTCTCTCCCGCCCCACTGGCCATGCAGTCCAGTCCATGATCCTCAGGCCCATTACTTTGCTGTCCCAGCCTTTTTCTCCAGACCCCTCATCTGACATCAATGGCCCCACCAAGACTTTGTCCCTGTCTCATAACCCAGCCAGCTCCAGTTTTCTTCCTGTATCTCCCTCCCCACCTCCTCCCCCACTGTGCCCCCAGCCTACTAATCTCCCATTTCAGTCTTACCCCAGCTACTTGTTCAATCTCAGTCTTCCCCCACATCCTATTTTTATCTGTGGTTTCCTGTCTCAGTATCCCATCTTCATCCAGCACCTGATCCCTGTCTCCTTGCCAAGCCAGTCTGTTTCCCACTGATCCCTTAATCTTGCACTCCTACAGTTATTAGTCAATTGTCTTCCCCCACTTGCACCTTCAGACCCAGCCTCCTTGTCCCAGTCTACTCCACTGCCCCCCTGTACCTCCAACTCCTGTCCCCTCTATATTCAGAAGTTGAGGACTTCTTCCTCCCTGCCTGAATGCCAGTGGGGCTGGGGCCACAGACACATGTACCCTGCCAATTCCTATATTTGACTGCTTGGCTCTGCAACATTACTGTTTTTTGAATGCAGCTCTTGATGTGAAATCTGCTTCTAGCCTGATTTTTTCAAAGCTTTCTCAGAAGGTGCAAATGCTCAGTTCCTATTCCATCCAAGTCCTTTTGATGGGTTTGAAAATCCCAAGTGTGCATCGCCCACTTTGCATGCAATAAGTATGCAGCACAAAGGATGATATTTCTTTGCAAGGGAGAATCGAGCCCAAAATATTCCTCTGCCAGGCAAGGTATAGGAGAAGGTGTCATAAACTAGCAGGGTCAAACTGCACAAGTCTTAGGTAGCAGCAAGAGTGGTAGTAGGAAGAGGGGGACATGAAATGCATTGAAAAGCCCACCTACATGGCTGAGAGGAGGCTTTTGGGCATCTACACTACACATGAAGATGGGACAGAGCTGGTAGTCAAAGATCTGGGTCCTGTTGCCAGTGAACCTCTCCATGTGGATTTACACTGTGCTGTGAGACATTGACTCCACTGAGGAATCCCAGCTGGCCTGTGTTTGTGTCAATGCCATGTAGGATTTCATCCCACTGGCATGGTTCAGGAACAGTGCTAGTGCTGGGCCCAGCTAACAAATCAGCTGGGGTGCAAAATCTTTCCCCTTCAGGATGCCCATCCCAGTCAGCCCCAGATAGGTAGCACCTAACCTTGCTACCATTTGTTGGCTCTAGGGACTGGGAGGAACCAGAGGCAGACTTTCCAGCCATCCCCTCCTGTTGATCATGCCACTGTCACTAGAACAGTCAGTGCTGACCAGTAGGATCCCTTGTGGCCAAGTATTTATGCCAGCCCATAGGCAGCAGTCCCACCAGGCAAGCCGCATGAACGCCTTCCTCTGGCTGAGTTCATCTCAGCTGTGCCCATTGTCCTGTCCCTCCTGCTTCATCTACCTCGCTCAGAGCTCCCATCATTGCTTGCAGATAGGTTACATTTGTGTCTCTTGTGTTTTGTTTGTGTTTTTCTTTTTAACAAGGTCAAGGTAGGAGGTTGAAGTTTAGTCTCCCGTCCCTGCGGCGACTCACAGTCCAGCGGAAATCTCTGCCCACCAGTGAGTTTGATGGAGTAGCCATTGACTATGGAAAGGTAACCATAGACTTTGTACCATATAAGCCAATTCCCTAGGTCAGGACCCAGTGCTCTTCCTCAGCTCTTCCCCACCCTGCCCCCTTCAGCAGCTGCTGTGGGTAGTGCAGTGTCTGGATCTAAGGGTTTCTCTCTTTAAATGCTGAGCGAATACAGTGGCCACTGGCCAGTCAGGGATTGCTTGCTTGTTGCCTTTTTAGTCACTTGGAACTTCACTGAGGACAGAACCCAGAACTCTTACTCCAAAACCTTTGGACACCAAGAGCTAAAAGAGAATTCCCACTTCCTGCTAAATGCACATGGCCTGTAACACACAGCTGAAAAGCTCTTCTTCCAGCCAGGAGCAGGGAGTGCACATGTATCCGTGTGCACAGGATAGGAGACTGGATTTGGATAAGGCTAAAATCTAACTTGCTTGTAATTCAAGATTCTAGAATGACCTGGGTAAGGAAAGAGCCTGGAAAGCTGCATAAACACATTAAACACACTGCCCCTTGGAAAGAGTGTAATGCTGGTTGGAGATGATAACAGTGGGCATAGCATGGGGCCTATAAAAATCAGGGGGCATAACTCCAGGATTCTGGTGCAAACATTCCTTGATACCACACATTTTCTTAAATATTTCCTGCCCATCTATGTGCCACCACCACGGATGACCATAAGTACCGAATCTCAGTAAGTTCTAATGAGCTTTTTGTCCATCTCTTCCCCTGTATTATGGCAGCAAAGAGCTTGTCGTCCTTGATGGATTAGCATAGTAAACCTGGTGAGGTAGGGGAAATGTTCTTGGTCTTTAGTGTCTACTTCGCTTTAGTAATTGCTGCTTTCATAGTCTTTTTGGATACTACACACATTCCACATATGTCCAAATAACAAATACCTGATGTTCTGCCAGTTGTTCCAGGTACATCCAAACATTGTAGATATATTCAGGTGTAAGGCATTTGTGGTGATAATCAGTGTTTTGGGTGTGTCCAGGTACAAGACCTTTGCTGTCCTTTCAAGTATATAGTGTATATCCACATAGACTATACCAGCTGTACAGCCCAGTGGTGTCGGTATGTTTTAGATATCTGTTATACCCTTCAAAGTTTTTAGTTGAGGGACCTCAAAGTTATAATCATGCTGTCAGGGGTTATAAGTACATGAAGGTTCAGGGTAGCCACAGTGTGGTCAAGGGTTCTAGGTATGTCAAGATTTTAGACACCTAAAGGTGCCTATGTCAAGGTTTTAGGCACCATGTGAGAGATTCTAGGCATGTCCAGGTAGAAGGTGCCTAGCATGCTGCAATGTTCCTCACTGTATCCACATAGAAGATACCTGCTGTGATACCCTGGGATAGCCTGACTTTTTGTTGCCTTCAGTGGAGTCTTACCCTAGTGATAGTAACACAGAAGGGATAGAGGGACCCAGCAGTGTAAGGAGTGAGAGGTGGTAGCATTTGGAATCCACTGAGCACCCTCACTTAGGCAGAAAAGTTCTTGAACCTTAGAATAAAAGAGTGGGCCTATCCAAAACAAGAAGAGGGATTTTGTTTCTTGAGGAATAGATGGAGCTCAGCAGCAAAGATAATGGTTTGGTGGGTCCTAGAGCCCATACATTGCTGAGCTAATGGCAGCATATTGGCTGGTGGGGTATTTGGGTGAGGTGAGGTGAAGTTAGGTGAGAATGGTTTCCCATCAAAAGAATCAAATCCATTTCATGAATAGCACCAAGTCTCTGGCAAACCAAATCTGGAGACATTTTGAAGAGTACAGTTTGGGCTTTTTACTCCAACTGATGTTAGGAAACTCTTTAATCCTTTGGTGCTTGGAAGCTGGTGAGCCCATAAACAGATTCAATGGGAGGCATGTGGGATATATGGTCATGGGCACTGTGCTTTTATGCAACATGTGTTCCACACTAGGGTTTGGTTGCTTTTTCCTGCCTGTATTTACAGGCATCTCCGAATACAGATTACCTCCTCATGCCCTCCAAAAAAGAGAAGGCACTGTGGGATAGGAAGGCCTAGAAGTGCAGTGTAGAACAGGCAGCATCTATTAGCCGCATGTCAAGGACCTAGAACATTGTGCTTTAAATTTAAAACTCCTGTAGCAGGCAAAAAGGAGAGGGCAGAATGCATTCAGCAGTAGATGTCTGTGCATTAATTCCTAGAAACATCCTGGATAGGAGCAACCTCATACCATGGTAAAGCCACTATGAGGACCTGCTCTTTTGCTCCTGCTCTGGCTTGCTTCCTGTTTGCTATTGGCTTGATCATAGTGGATAACTCCCCCTTCCTCCCTTCGCACAACATCTCCCCCCATGCTTACCCAGGCTTAGTAGAGCAGGAATGGGTTGATGGGTCCCACTGTAACACCAGGAATCAGGGAGGAACACCTAGGCTTCCAAGAATGCTATAGCTATGTCACAGGGTGTGCTCAGTCCTGCAAGTCAGACCTTAACCCACAAAATGGCAGCACTCCCCAGCCCTCTGCCCTTCCTCTGTCCTCACCCAGCTTCTCCCTCATCCCCCAGCATTCAAGGACTCCTTCTAATGAAACACTTTCTCCTGGCTGTCTTAAAGCCTGGTGGCGACTCTTTGATTATGAGGGACTTGAAGACTCCACCCAATGAGAACTGTGTCCAGTCAGAGACCGAGTCCCTCCTGGAAAAGGAGAGGATGCCGAGCCTGGAGGCCATCCCCACCGCACATCACTCGTCCCTGAAACAAGAGCCTCCCTTCCTGAGACCACCAGGGTCATACGCGGCCTGGGGTTTGGCTCGGTTGCGCGCCAAGGGCAGCTTCCACAGCCTCCGCAGGGTCTCCTCCTTGGACAACTTTGAGGCCACGAGGTCTGAGTTCCAGAGAAAATGCAGGGAGAGGAGGGCAAACTCAGGTAGGGGTAAAACACACGCAGTTATATCTTTACCAAGGGGGAGGATGAAGCAGAACTTCTTCCAGCAGACGAGTCCTCCTCTGGACTGCTATGACGTTTCCTGGGGGAGTTTCTCACCCTACCTTGTCTTCTCCTAGAGAAGCAAAGAGAAGGGGGGCACCTTCAAAAGGGTAAACTGACTTCAGTGTGTTTTCATGTTCTGGAAAGTCCAAATGTTTCTCTCTCTCAGCCTGTAGATGATAGATTTGTTTGTGTCTCTGTGTGTGAATGTCTGAATACACTTATCTTGCTTGCCCTGTAAATCCAGCAGATATTAAACAGATTGTTTCCTGAACACCTGCCCACCTCAGGCAAAAGTGTGTGGGAGTCCATTTGTATTGGTGAATATGATGAATATAGTAGAAATAATCCCTGTGCATCATAGATGGGTAAGAGATGGAACAATTTAATCTGGGAGCACCATCAACACTGCTTGTCAGTGAAAAACGCAGATGATCTCAGCTTGGGAAGAAACACAAAGGTCCATAGACACCAGAGCAGTCACGCAGGAAGTCCAAGAAATGTGGGCAGAAAATAATGCAGTGAGCCTGAATTCAGAAAAGAATTGCATCCAGGAGATGAGAATTTAGTGTATTTAACTAAGGAATTGAAAAGCAGAGAAGCTGAGACAAACTGAGGACAATATTCTCAACAGATTTTCAAAGGCTCAGTGTACACTGCTGGAACTGGGTTTCTTAAAAAGCACAGACAATTAAATAAGGGCAGACTGCAAAATGGTTTAATTCTCAATATCTTCTATTTTGGTACTTCTTGCTAGGGCTTCAGATGAACTTGACACCCAGTGAGGCCACTGTGCATTGAGGACATCTGAAAATCTGGCCACTTAGGATGGGCTTTTGCTACATGCTCATCACAAGCCAAACTCTGCTTCACTGACCTCCATGAAAGTAGTGTTAGGTCAATGAATCTCACCCTTATTTTGCTGTTATGACCTTCTGGCTCCTCCAAGTGAGAACAGACAATCAATTAGATGGGAGCTGCAGTGCTCGTTCTCTTGTGGCCTGAAGATGCAGAGGCCTCATGTTTTGGAGTGGGGAAGGAATAGTTCTTCTCTATGAGGGTCTGGAGTGAGTGTGTCTGCAATTCTGCATTCATTTCCAGGTACCTCATTCTTGTGAGATAAGGTTGATACACAGGTGTGAGATTCGAAAACAACACTGATCATCTGGATCATTTGATCATCCGATCCAGACCCTGGAGGATCAATTTAGGAGATGGAAAGAGTTTGTGCTGCTTGGCTCCCTCAAAATGGGGCCAGGATCAGAAGACACAAATATTCAGAGTGTGTGAGCCCCAAGGGAGCCAGGGCACTTCTGAAAGAGGGATAAATAAGTCTCACTGGGGAGAATAGGGAATGAAGTAAGGGAAAACTAATGTTAACTGGCTACATCTGAAAACTTGGGAGTCTTCTAAGACAGATTTCCTGCCAGTGAGGTATACTAGGCATGGCAGAGACTAGGAGCCTCAGTGATAGAAACATTTCAGCTAGACTAGAAAAAAACTAGAAAATGTCACAAACAGAACAAGCCTGCCTTTGCCTACAGGAGACAGATTAGCTGGGATAAATGAGGCCTTTGTAGGCAGATCATCCAACTCCAGGCTTGCTGCCTCTGACGTACAAGACAAAGCTCCACCCTCTTCTGCTAGTGAGAAGCAGGATGAACAGCTGGTCCAGCCCAGGGAGCAGTAAACCATAAAGCCCAACAACTATTTGGATGTTTTGCCTGAGACCTACAAAGCCAGGCAGGACCTGCCTCTGATTTCAAGTTTGAAAGTATGTCCATGCCGCTCCTGCTGAGCTCTTGGAAGTGCCCCCAGAAGTTCCCTGGTCCTCCCACTTGTCACGGCTGCTCCCCCTTGCCAAAGCCAATGCTCTTGAGCTCCATGTCACCAGCACACTTGGGAATGGTGATAGTGAGTGCCCTTAGAGTGGCATCATTGCCTCATATCTGTGTTTGACACAGGTGGCCCAGGAGCAGGCAGGTGGGGCCATGCCTCTCCAAGGGGCTCTCTGCAGCAGTACAGAAGTGAGGTAGACATGCCCTTAGACACCTTTTGTT